CGGGAGGCAGCTCCCAGCAGCCAGAGAGGGATCTGAAGAGGGGCAGCGCTCTGTGCCCTCATCAGTGATGCTGATCACTATTTTCATGGCCCAAACAAAGTAGGACTTTCAACCCCAATTTTTGCTTCCTAGTATAGAAATGGACCTGACCACAAGCTGAAGGGATTTTCACAGTGTTAGTGGAGGAGGTCAATTTAGCTTTTGCATTCACCAATCTAACACACAATACATTGAAGGGCACCTGTTTGTTTCAAAACATGGTGGTTTGAACTGTCTGTCACCAACATGCTGAAGCTTCAGGCCTTGTTCTTCCAGCTTCTGAGTCTTCAAGCTGTTATTTTTACATGTGTTCAGGTATCTGCAATAAGTCCTTCTTGATGCCTTATTTGCAGAGTGGGTGGAGTTCACACCTTATGAGGTGGGTTTCCTGAAATACGGGGCCTTTGTTCGTTCAGAGGATTTTGGGAGTGAGTTCTTCATGGGTCATCTGATGAAGAAGATCCCAGAGTCCCGCATCTGCTTCTTGGAAGGTGATTTACTATCTCAGAAAAACATCACCTTTATAAACATTTAGTTTTCTACACAGACTTGGCATCTAGTAGCTACTGGTCTGCAAGTAACAATACTAGTACACCAGATACTTTATCTGATATAATTTAAATCTCAAATGAACCAGCCAAAAGTGATAAAAGAGGAAGCAAATTCTTGGAGATATGCAATTAATTTGCTGAACTTCTTAGGTTAGACCAAAACAGAACACACACATTAGAAGTGATCTTTTGAAGTATTTAAAATCACAGTCTGAGTTTTATAAACAGCCAAGTTTCTGAAATGACTTATTCATAACCCAGACATTATGTGGAATGGCAAGGCATTTGATATACTAAAATTCATAATATTTCATAAGTAAACCAGTGCTAATTTAAACAACCACAGAGACGGAATCCAAGTAGGTTGCCATAGCTGTGCTCTAACAATTCAAAGTAATTAAGTATGGCCTTTTTTTTTTTTAAACTTTCAAGGCACATGGAGTAATATATTTTCCCAGAATTTTATGGATGCTCTCTACCTCTCGGGTCATTCAGAGGACTTCTGGCACAGATGGACCCGAGGCACTGAGCATGACATCGGTTAGTTATTCGGATTACTTTTCACTTGCGTCTGCATTGTCTTCACACCTCTCTGAGATGTGAAACCTGACATTTGGTAAAGGGTTTGGTTTTGTCTCCTGTTGCTGGGTTAGGGGACAGCAAGCCTTTGGGAATGAAGGAAAAACAGGAGAGAAACAGTTGTACTGGAAAACGGGAAAAGACATTGCGCTGCTCACTGTGCAACAACCTTGGGGAATTTTGTTAGCCATGAGAGGGTTACAATAACTCCTTTGGGGAGGGAGAGGCCAGACGAGGAACAACAAGGTGATGCTGTGGCACTGAAACCCACCTCTGCCCAGAACAGTCTGCATGTCGGTGCATGTGCTCCATCACAGATGGGACCATGATGGTTTGGCTGCCCAGCCCCTCTTTCTTTGTTATTATTAGTGTCAGAGAAACATTCTAAACAAATGCAGACGTATACAGTCTTCTCATTCTTCCTACAGAGGAACATCCTGCTCTGCCCAAGAAGCCTTATGAACAGACAACATCGTTATCCATTCCTAAAGGCTGCCTTTCCAATACTCTTCGAGAAATGATGACTGGACGGCCAGTGGTTTCAACTTACCATAATTTCCTCAAGGGCTTGCAGCTACATAACCAGTATTTAGAGAATGAGAGCTTTTGCATGTGGAAAGGTAATAGTAAATTGTTTTAGATGTATTTTCAAAGGTCATTTGAGTGCTGATATTTGCGGAGGACAAATATTTGATAAGTTTTAGCATAAAGGCAAATTTTGATTAATATTATTTGATTAGTATGTCTGTGGAATTGATTTTGCTGAGCCCCAGATAATTTACCACTGACTGGTCTTGTTTCTGTCTTGGAGGAATCACAGCAGGCTTGCTTGAATTCTGTTCTTCCTAGGAAAAGCTGCAAAAGAATGACTTGCAGCTTCCACTGAAGCTAAATAACCACAAATTTACATCAGTTGAAAAAGCAGCTTGATGTATCGCTTTGAAATGAAGCTGAGTCTCAGAACTGCTCCCTCTTACTGATCTCAGAGTTGAGCTATAGATGCTAAAATTGTCAGACAAATATTTAACTGCGGGCTTTGTGTCAAAGCCTAATATGTGTGGGATGTCTTTTCTTTCTTTCCTCGTTATGCTGATTTGGAAAAAAAAAATGGACTTGCTCCTGCAGTAATTAATTTAATATAAATTTTTGATTTTCAGACACGGTGCTTGATTCTTCTCCCAACAAGCTGATCGAAATGGATGACTACCTCAAGCTGGTAGATACAGCTTTTTTCATCAATACCAGTTGCCCACCCATTCTGAGGCCAGAGAGGAAAGTGGATGTCATTTTGCATTTAAATTACAGCGGAGGATCACAGACTCTGGTGATGTTTTGAAGTAGTCATTCTTTATCTGTATGACTCCAGCAGCTGAATTAGCACATTTCTCTCTCTCTTTTTTTTCTTTTTTTTCCTTCCAGAAAATGGTCTGGTTTTTTTATTAAGTTAAATAATCATATCAGTGATACTATTCAACACTGTGGTCATAACGTCACTTTATCAGGGTTATTTTCAGTAGTTTTCTGGGACACACACATGGACGCAGACACATAGAAGATTATCTGTTCTGTGCACCTTTGCAGATTTGTTATTGTGGTACCAAGTTCCTCAATAGTTGAATAACTTTTACAATGTATTTAGTTAATACATAATTTTGCTATTTTTTAATGAAAATTTTGAGTTTTTCCTTTTATGTTTGACTCTTGGTGTTCGCATACGTTTCAGTCAGATTTTTGTTTTGCTATGTTTCAGGAAACAAGGGGCATATATGATTGAAATAATGTAATTTATTTGTAAGAGGACACAAACATATTGATTGTTAGATGCATTGAATGCAAATACATAAGAACCTGTGATCTGAGATACCATGTGTAATCAAAATTTCCTGATCCAAAAATCTTCTACTGTGCAACTAAATAATAAAAAAGATCTGTTTTCTGAAATTTATATGAAATTCAGTAGTCTTCCTTTAAAAATGTACAGTGCTAGCAAATCAACCAAATTTTTATTATCCAGAGTCTATTAAAATCAAGAGGATATGCTTGTTCCAGGGCATAGTTAGCCTTATTTGTAAACATATAAATCAATCACAGACTATCCAGTGCAGCAAAATATTAGTTATGGGGCTTGGTAGCCTTATTTCAACCTGTCTTTGTGTTGCAACTTTTCTCTTTGTTGAACCAGCCACTGGACCTGTTTTCAGAGTACTGTTTGGAACATGGGATCCCATTCCCTGGCACGGAGCTGAGCCAGGAAGACAGGGAACACCTGAAGGAGTGCTATGTGTTTGAGGACAGCTTAGAGGCACCAATCTTGGCCTATTTCCCGCTGGTGTGTGATACCTTCCAAAAATACAAGGCACCGAGTAAGTTAATGGCATTAATCAATCATTACTTTTTTTTGAGGCTGTCACATCCAGTTTATCCATTGAATTTGTTCCTCTTCTAAAACAAGAGATTGACAAAGCTTCTCAGTTGGCTATGTTACCATGTTCCCAGTCCTGTTGTGGTGGATATAGTGTTGGCCAACTAATCAGGAGTTGAACTGAAGAGTTTCAACATTAAAAGCATGAGTAACTGTAGCTTGAGGCAAACCCATTTATCTGGCATCTGGGACAGTTTGTGTTGCTTTGGTAATAAAGGACAGGAGGCAGCTCCTAAATTATATCCACTGGTAGCTGATACTGTCACTTAACAGTCTTGTAATGAGGTAATACCTCTACTTTGTTAACAAAGCTAGAATCCTCTTGTTACTTTGCTTAAATGAAAAAAAAAAAAAAAAATTGAGACTAGAAAGTGCTGAAAACATACAATGAAGCAAAGGATTTGCCAGGGTAACAAGCTGCTTTGATATCGGTCATTTTTAAAAAGTTGCCAGATAATTTTCTTTAGTTCAGCAATAGTATAAATAGTGTTTTGTTTGTTTTACCAGAAAAAACTACTTGGCAAATTTGGTTCCAGTTTACCAATACTTTTGCATGCATCAACTCCAATTTTCTTGTTGCTAATTTAGTATGATCCAGGAAACTTTCCTCTAAACTGAACAAAAATCCATGTACCATCTTATTGGAAAAGACTTCATGTAGTTCATCTTGTTTGTCCTGCTGCAGCTGCTTAAAATCTCAGCCACCTCAGAGGGAGAATTCCCAATCCAGGAGCTTCCTGGTGTCATTTTCTACCAGTTGGTACATAAGGAGTTGTCATCTCAGTACCTAATGGTTAAAAATACAAAATTCCAAATCTGCAATAGTGAAATATTCTGATGGAAAACTTTAATGTAGAGGAATGCATTTTGCATGGAAAAGTTGTCCTGCCAGTCAATTCTGGATCAGCTGTGACTGTAGTCAAGCAGCGAAACACTGGATTTTATTAGTGCAGCAGATGTTGTATCTCTACAGTAATTAAATCTTGAACCATTTTCCTGAGAGCATTCAGTGTCTTGTGATTGTTACTGTGTGTTTTGCATTACTGAGTCTTCCACCTCAGTAACATTGCTGTGTTGAACTTTTGCTATGTTCTTACTTAAGATGTGGAGCGCAGTCCCACCGAGATGGAGCAGGGAAGAGTAAACGTGTCCAGCTGTGTTGCTCCCTATGGCACTGGTCTGCTTACATATACTGAAGAGAATTTCAACAAGTTGCTGAACCTGTGCAGCTACAACATCCTGAATAATAAACACTGCATTCTTCAGGCTTTGCGAACTGCAGTGGAACGAAAAAAACGATGTAAAAACCATTCGTCACCTCAGTTGTCTAAACTCTCTTAAAATATATTTTGACAAATCTCATCAGAAGGAGATATATAAATGTTTTGGTAATGGACTAATGAGTATTCAGGGAATGTGAATCCATACAGAATGAACATCCATCTTAGCTTGTTAAAAAAGAAAATTGGGTATTTTATACAGTACTGTGTGTGAGGACTAATGGTCCTGGCATTATAATCATTGGCAAATCATGATTACTTTTAAAAATTCTCTTTGCCATTTTAGGGAAGGGAGAGGCAGTTGTAGAGCTATAGGGTCCTATTTGGATATACAGCCATATAAGGATGAGATTTCAGCCTCACGAAAGTCTGTGCCAGATTTGGATGCAAATCTTGATGGTATGTGGTCTTTGAACCAGACACCAAAGCAAAGATCAACCAAAGCCTTGCCTTGTTCACAGATTTCTGCTTCTGACAGTAAGGAGTAAACCAGATACCATGAATGTTTGCACCAGGAAAAGGAAGGCTGATAATCGAAGCATGGAACTGCACGTGATGTCTTCTATTTTCTCAGTATCCATCTGTTAGGCAGAAGTCTAACCCTCAGTGAATTTATCTGCTTGGCTGTCATCGCACTGAGTCTATATTTTAGATGGACTACCCCAGTGATCAACATATATCACAGCCTGATTTTTCTGCCAACTGTCTGATAAAAATCATTTGACTGCATCCATTTTTGCTGAACTTCTCTCTGAATTATTGCCTGCAAAGTAGATTTTGAAGCTGAGGATAGCAGTTAAGGTTTCAAATCCTACACTTAGTGGATTTGGAAAACCAGTTTTAACAACCTAACCTTTGGCCAGAACCATGTCTTCATTTATTAATCTGCTGTGAACTCAAAGGTGTTCGTGATGACAACAAAATTTGCCATACCAACTCCTTTGACTTCTGCAATGTTATGATGGTCAGTGTGTACCTGCTGCTACAGATTTATTCCCACTGCCATCCAAAACACAGACAGGGGAGTGTTCACAAGATTTTCACACTCATTTTAGATAAATGCTTATTTAAGAAAACGTATTTAAATGGTCATTCTTAGATCATCTTTTCTCTTGTATATATCAATATGCATACACTGTAATAGCTACCATTCAAATACTAAGTACCTATGCATAATCTATTAAAAATAAGTCTTATAGATGCAATCATTGAAGTATTTTTTTAAGTTCTATGGACTCAGCTCAGCTAGTGAGTTGATCTGAGAAAAAATGCTTCTTGATTCACATACTGAGAAATCAAGTATTGATGGAACGAAGGCATTCATGAGCTTTGCTAGTGACCTTTGAGGAAGGATGAAAGAAAAGCTGCCACTTAACAGTGGAAGATGAAAAATAGAAGCAAAGTCTGATTTTAAGAGTGTAGATGACTGGGATGATAGTGAGAGGTTTACAAGTCCAAATACTGGTATTTGCAAACACCAAGGTTTATTCAGTAACACAGAGTGCAGCACTTTGCTAGTACTGTATATGTGTCTATATTTTAATCAGTTTTTTCTGTTCCCCTTTGCAGTAATTCATTACACTGGTGTAAGTATAAAAAAACCCCAGTGCCTCCATCTGTATGCTGGCAGTATGCCCACATTACCTGGGAGTGTGGCATCTTGTGTCTCCCTCTCATGTGCCATGGTCAGAAGGCTCTGTCATCCAGTCTTATAGATCTCTGCTTATTAAGCAGGAGCTAACATCATACTTTGTTACCTCTAAGACTGTCCTTTTTCTGTGCATCAGATCAGTTAACAGGAGACAATGCTAGCAGGTGTCTCCTGTCAAGCTTTGCTGCAATATGAATCAAACCAATAAAGTCTCACTTCATAAGAGGAAAGTGTTGGCAGTGACCTTCGCATCTCCTTTTCATGGGTCTAAGGTGGTCAAGCCCAACAACTCTCTTCTTTTTCTCAGTTACTGATAAATCTTTCTTTTTCAGCTCTGCCCTCTTAACCAGAAAGCCAGTTTTCCACCTTCTTTTCTTGTCCTTGGTTTGGATAATTTGATGTTATGTCTCACCAGTAAGATGGCAATAGTTTTCTGTAAGCAAAGAAGAAAAGGAAGATGTCGCTCTGACAGCTCAGTTTTATTCATAAGTTTATTTTTAAACAATAATGAAATGGGGTTTTAAAAGCTTTGATTAAAATTCTTTGCTAAGTATCTTTTAAGTATTTTAAAAATGAATCTTGAAAATCTTTACAGCTCCAGGAAGATGTAAGAGCGGCAGTGCAGTTTGTGTCTGGTGTATTCACCGACTGGTTTTTGGTGGTTGCAACACTTGGCGCTGGGTCTTCAGCTTTACTCACCCAAGGTGTGGTGGTGATGTGCGTTTTTGGCACCAGATCCGGAAAATTAGGATGGCTTAGAATGAGCTTAGGAAAGGGAGCCCATTTTAAGAAATCTGGGCCTGTTGAGCAAGCCACTGAAAAATCTTAGGCTGCTCAAATTGCCTAGCTTAGCAGCTCGATATTTTGACTGGAAGGAAAGTCAGACAAACGCTGGCGTTCGAGTTGGGACCTGGCTCACTGCGTGAGGCTAACACCTTCCCTGGGCTCGCCAAGCTCGCTGGTCTTACCTTGGCGGCTTGTGAGTTTTCTCCACAGTGGACTCGTTTGGTTTCTTGTCTAGGAAAGGAAAGGCTTCTTTTTCTGTCCTATTAAAACCTGTTCACATTGTTCGCATTGCAGCCATACCTTGGAATCCTGCCTGAGATATAATGGTGAAAGGTAGTGTAAAAGGACAGGAGGCTTGCCAGCTATTAATCAAAAATAACAAAGGAGAGACATTAGTATTACTGCTGCTATTTTTAAAGAAGGAGCTGAGGCTCAGTGACCTATCAGCTGGATTTTTCAAAGTGATTCAGCATTGGCATAATTGTTCTATTTAAAATCCAGGTAGGTCAACAACAATTTCTTTTTTTGAAAACACCTCTTTGTGGCCTGTCACACAAGCTCTGCTAAAGGTCATGGCACAATCCTGTAAGCAATTAGCTCTGAATCTTTACAGTCTCTGTTAGGACTCAGGCATCTCTCAGGCTGACTGTAGATGAAGTTACCCCCTTAATTAGCTGGTGACATGAAGTGACTTCCTGATATTCTGAGAATTGGTTCAGATTCAAATTGGCTTTAGATTTCCCTGTAAAGGTCGTGGGCTATGTGTCTTGCCACATTTATGCCAAAGGAATTAGTGGCTAATTAGCTGACACAGGCTGCTGCTGGTATTCCTCACACCTGTGGTCTGATGGGGTTGGAGAAAAGAAAAAGCTGCTTGAACAGTGCCTGAAGCTTTGAATGAACCTGAAAAGGTCAGGTGACCTCAGGCTGTTCCTGCAAAGATAGAGAGAATGTGCTGGATGCTGAGATCCACAGAACACAGGGAGAGGCAGAGATAAAGGTTGTGAGCTTTTTGAGACAAGGATTGCATCTGAGATTCTGTTGCAACAAAACTGAAGGCAGGATTGTGTGTATTGGGAACAGCTGGGCCGACACTTTACTGATGATTTTTGGATGGCAAAACTGCCCGATTGCTTCCGGTGAGTGAGTAGGTGGAGCGAGATTTTATCTTTCCAAAGCATATCAAAGGCATGTGGAATCATTTTAATCAAGTTTCTCAATAGTCTTTTGAAGGCAGAAGTCCTCCTTCATATATACCATAATCAGAATAGTGCCTTAAGTAAAAATATAATCCCTCCCCACCCCAATCAGCTAGTGTGATCTCTCTCTCCACTGACTGATTTTGCACCTTTCATTCTCAGGAATTTAGACTCAGATTGAAGGTCTCTTGTGTTTACAAATGGATGATACAAAATTTTTCAGGCTTTTTTCTCTATCCTGTATACCCCCTAACCTTCTCCAAGCATCCTTTCTTGGGAAGACCATTTTGCATCTTATGTGATTTTTTTTTTTTTTTGACCTTATGTGATAGAAAACATCTATTTTGATAGAGGATTTTTGAAAAGGATATTGTGGAGTATTGAAGGACAGGTGTATATTGAAGGTGTGGTGTATGTATAAACATGAAAATAAAATGCTAACATATTAATGTGAAAGTTAGATATCTGTTTTTGTTGTATGGTGGGTTTTTTTGGTAGTGGCAGGGCTACAGGAGTGGCTTCTATGAGAAGCTGCTCGAAGTTTTCCCCGTGTCCAACAGAGCCAATGCCAGCTGGCTCCAAGACAGACCCACTGCTGGCCAAAGCTGAGCCCATCAGCCATGGTGGTAGCACCTCTGGGGTAACATATTTAAGCGGAAAAAGTTGCTGTGCAACTGCAACAGCATCCAGAGAGAGGAGTGAGAAGATGTGAGAGAAACAACTCTGCAGACACCAAGGTCACTGAAGGAGAAGGAGGAGGAGGTGCCCCAGGTGCCCCTGCAGCCCATGGAGAAGACCATGGTGAGGCAGGCTGTCCCCCTGCAGCCCATGGAGGTTGATGTTGTAGCAGATATCCACCTGCAGCCTGTGGAGGACCCCACACCAGAGCAGGTGGAGACACCCAAAAGAGGCTGCGAACCCATGAGAAGCCCATGCTGCAGCAGGTTCCTGGCAGGACCTGTGGACCCATGGAGAGAGGAGCCCATGTCAGAGCAGGTTTGCTGGCAGGACTTGGGACCCCGTGGGGGACCCACGCTGGAGCAGTTCATGAAGAACTGCAGCCTGTGGGAAGGACTGACATTGGAGAAGTTGGTGGAGGACTGTCTACTGTGGGAAGGACCCCACGCTGGAGCAGGGGAATAGTGTGAGGAGTCCTCCCCCTAAGGAGGGAGTGGCAGAGACAAGGTGTGATGAACTGACTGCATCCTCCATTCCCCATCCCCCTGTGCTGCTGCAGGGGAGTAGGTAGAGAATTTGGGAGTAATGTTGAGCCTGGGAAGAAGGGGGGGTGGGGGGAGGTGTTTTTAAGATTTGGTTTTATTTCTTATTACTTGACTCTGATTTGCTTGGTAATAAATAATTCATTTCCCCAAGTTAGGTCTGTTTTGCCTGTGATGGTAATTGGTGAGTGATCTCTCCCTGTCC